GATGGTTGTGATGGTTGTTCTGATGGATATGAAGAAGATCCATGGTAAATGGAGGAGGAGGAATAAGAAGAGGATGTTGAACGATGATGATAAGAATAATGATTGTGGTGTTGTTGTTGATAATGATGACTTTCATTCCTTGAATATGATGAATTGTTATTATGCGTTGGTGATGGTGGCGGTAATGCATTATTACTGCTGTTGTTATTGTTGTTATTACTTGTTCGAGAATATGGACTGTATGAGGAAGAATCATTTCTATGTGATAAAGATGATGGCAGCCTTCTTTCATATGATGATTTAGAAGATTGAGTTTGATGTGACGGTAGTTTACCGTATAGTTTTTTACTTCTTGGTGGAGGTGGTGGTGGTGATGGTGGTCCACCTCCATACGATCTAAACGAAGATGTAGAAGTCATTTAATTCGTGAAGGAAAGGATTTTATTAATGATCGGCTGAGTGCATTTAGTGCATTATTATAGTAAAAATCATCCATTAAAATTAAAAAATACTGCATGACATTGTATTACAGAGGATTCACCATATGCGGAGGATTTCAAGGTTTAACCTCACCATTATACCACCAATATAATTAACGGGGTTCTTTATCTCTGTATACACTCGTTACATAATGAGCATCTCCTAATAGGAAATTTTGTTAATAATCTAAGTATTTTTCTACTGCAAAGCAATATGGAATTATAAATGCAAAATCACAAGGCAACTATAAAAATATTTATTATAAAGAATATAAATGATGAAAAACTATTTCTAAAGAGAAAAAGTAAAAGAAGTCATTGATGAATTGAATGAGCATTGATTTAAAAAATATAAGGATAAACCTTCTAAGATGTTAACTAGATTTCAATGATACATACAGATAAAATCATTTGCCAATGGAAATTAATTTTTTAATTGAAAAATTTGTCATTCAAGAAATAGGAAAAAATAAAGGTAAGTAGAATTCACCTTTGTTTACAGCAATTTCTTTTTCTGCTAATTTATTTAAAGCTTCAACTTCTTTTTCGTTGTTAGAGAAAAGTATTTCGATTTGTCTAGTTGCCAAAGCAGTTTGATGAATGACTTTCTTCAATTCCCAACTTGCTTTATCAAGATCTATTTGTGATTTTCTAACACTCTCCGTTAATTTAACCTCTGCTTCTCTTAATCGTTGACCTTCAACTTTACAATGTGTCCACTTAAATAAATATTAATTTATTAAATAATATAATTAATAAATCAAGTAAAAATAAAAATAAAAATATAATTATTTATCTATTAAAAAAAAAAATAAAATAAAATTATTACAGTTTCTTCATATGTTGGAGCAAATACAGGAATTTGAATAGGTTTTGTAGGTGTTTCAAATAAAGTTTTTTGTGGAGAGTGATTAACATTTAAAGAACTACTGACAGTTGATGTATTATTGGGTTGTAGTGATGGTTGTGATGGTTGTGATGGTTGTTCTGATGGATATGAAGAAGATCCATGGTAAATGGAGGAGGAGGAATAAGAAGAGGATGT